TCTTTGTCATATGGTTATAAAGAAGAAGAAGAGGAGGAGGAGGAGGAGAAGGATTTATACCCCACCCTACACTACCCAAGGGAGTCTCAGAGCGGCTTACAAACTCCTTTCCCCCTCCCCACAACAGACACCCTGTGAGGGAGGTGGGGCTGAGAGAGCTCTTTTGAGGACTGCCTTTGAGAGAAAAGCTCTGAGAGAACTATGGCTTGCCCAAGGTCATCCAGCAGCTGCAAGTGGAGGAGTGAGGGAATCAAATCAGGTTCTCCCAGATTAGAGTCCGCACACTTAACCACTACACCAAACTGGCTAGTCCAGCATCCCATCTCACAGTGGCCAGCCAGTTCCTCTGGAGGGCCAAACAAACAGGGCAGAGAGGCCGAGGCCTCCCCTGATAAGGACCTCAGAAGAGCCCTGCTGGGTCAGACCAGGGAGGGTCCATCTAGCCCAGCATCCCGTCTCACACAGTGGCTTGTTCTCCGTATTATCACACAGTGGCCAGCCAGTTCCCCTGGAGGTCCAACAGCAGGACATAGAGGCTGAGGTCTTCTCCCGATGTTGTCTCCTAGCACTGGAATTAAGAGGTTGACTGCCTCTGAAGGTGGAGGTTCTCCTTCTCTTAGCCTTCTCCTCCCGCCCTTAGGCAGGTATCTCGGCAGGGGGAGGTTTCCCTGTTTTAATGCTCTATTTTCTCCATTCTGCAAATCTGCCGTCTGCTTTGCAAAAACGATAACCTTTGTTCTAACTCATTTTATTTCTGTCAGTTCAATAAAAACGTCTTTTCATTTTGAAAAGCTGCGTCTCTGCATTTAATTTGAGTGTTGGTGTGACTCTTGACACCACTGCTAATACTGCACTCATTAAGACCCTGCAATACCTGTGCTTTCTCCTAGAGAGCAGAAGGATACTCTTGCTAGGTACAGTGTCTGGACATGTGGTATCAGTTTGGGAAGCAGACTAAGAGGACCACTGGTCCCCCTGTTCTTATGATCACTGCTTCCTTTTGGGGGGGTAGTGAATGAGTGCGTGTGTGTGTATGCCTGGAAGTCATGGTTGGCTTCTGGTGACCCCTAGTGGGTCTTGGATGTTTCAGAGAGGTGGCTTGCTATTGCCTGCCTCTAAGTCCCAGCCCTGGTATTCCTTGGAGGTCCGCCATCCAAGTACTTGCCAGGATCAGCCCTGCTTAGTATCCGAGATCTGATGAGATTAGGCCTGCTTGAGCTATTCAGGTTGGGGCCATTATGATCATAGAATCATAAGAGTTGGAAGAAGAAGAAGAGGAGATTGGATTTATACCCCGCCCTTCACTTGGAGTCTCAGAGCGGCTTACAAACTCCTTTCCCTTCCCTACAAAGAATGTAGCTGAGTCATAAAATGTAGATGTTTTGTTCAATCTGTTCTGTGATTTTAAGAATGCATAGGCCACTCAGTAATTTTAAATATTGTGTATTTCCTAAAACTTTTAGATTCATGTACATTGTTGTAACTGATTTTGTGCTGGTCATGAACCATAATAATAAATTTGATTTGATTTCATAGAATCATAGAATGTTAGAGTTGGAAGGGACCTTGCAGGTCATCTAGTCCAACCCCCTGCACTCTGCAGGCGCAGAGCCAAAAGATAACCCTACAACATACCTGAAAGATGGTCCTCCAGCCTCCGCTTGAAAACGTCCAGCCAAGGAGCATGCACCACCTCCCAAGACTGCTCAACCACTCTGACAGTTAGAAAGTTTCTCCTGATATTTAGCCTGTAACGACTCCCTTGTAATTTCCACCCATTAGATCTAGTCTTGCAACCCGGAGCAAGAGAGAAGAGATCCGCTCCATCTTCTACATGACAGCCCTTCAGATACTTGAAGACTGCAGTCATGTCCCCTCTAACCCTTCTCTTTCCCAGGCTAAACAGACCCAACTCTTTCAGCCTTTCCTCATAAGACTTGGATTCCAACCCTCTCACCATCCTGGTTGCCCTCTTCTGGACACACTCAAGCTTGTCAACATCCTTCCTAAAATGTGGTGCCCAAAACTGGACACAGTACTCCAGGTGAGGCCTGACCATAGCAGAATAGAGTGGAACTACCACCTCCCGTGATCTGGACACAATGCTTCTGTTAATGCATCCTAAGATTGCATTAGCTTTCTTCACAGCCACATCGCACTGCAGGCTCATGTTTAGCTTGTGATCCACCAGAACACCTAGATCCCTTTCATATGTCCTGCTGTCAAGCCAAGT